TCGCTCTTAGGTTGGAGGCCATCGCTCTTGGGTTGGAGGCCATTGCTGTTAGGTTGGAGGCCATTGCTATTAGCGTGGAGGCCATCGCTCTTAGGTTGGAGGCTATCGCTCTTAGGTTGGAGGCCATCGCTCTTGGGTTGGAGGCCATTGCTATTAGCTTGGAGGCCATCGCTCTTAGGTTGGAGGCCATCGCTCTTGGGTTGGAGGCCATCGCTCTTAGGTTGGTGGCCATCTCTCTTAGGTTGGAGGCCATCTTTCTTAGGTTGGAGGCCATCGCTGTTAGGTTGGAGGCCATCACTATCAGGTTGGAGGCCATCGCTAGTCTTTTCCTTTTGGCCACGTGAGGCCCCACCTCCGGGAGGTTGCCAGTGCCCTGCTGTGCCAAAGGGGTGCCACTAGCTGTTGATTTTGCGAAATGTGGACTAAAGGAATAAGCACAAGGGGAGCCTGACCAAACGTCAAGACCCTGAGAGTCAGAGACTCAAATTCCCAACACATGGTACCTGAAAGGGAACTTTCTTCAGGGAATAGTTTTCAGAGTGTCTTCCAGACGAGTGTCCGGTCGCACTTTTCTTCACACTCTCAGAACGGCCAATCTCCTCTGGTCCATGTCATGGAGATGTCGAGCATCGCGAGCGAGCCTGCGCCCTCTACGAAGTCTTTGAGAGGGATCACTAGACCTGGATATGGCGCAAGCTCATTCTCAGCCACCATTGAGGGGTGATACAATCCTCCCACAATTAGGATATCAATCCATCCATCATATCCAGATCCTTGATATGGTTTTTGAGGATTGTTGCCAATATTCCTGCACCAGCAAACTCAGCAAACAAGGAATTGACCCGATCAACACACATTCAGACACACCTTTCCTTCCCTGTTTCCGAACTTCTTCCAGTATTCAGCTCCATCCCTCCCAACAGGCCCGGCCCACCGGCCCCACCCTGCGGCCTCCGCCCATCGGTCGGTCGGTCCAAGGACGGAGATGGCACCTTGAGCTACGAGGAGTTCCTCCATATGTTGCAGAGGCTGCCACAGGAGCGCCGGACGTGACGCCGACCGTGACCTTCGGCGGTGACATGGGTGGTGTCCTGGTTTTGGGCTTTGTTGCGGGAAGCTGTGAGAGTGGCAAAAGGGGCGATGGTGAGGGGGGTGTGAGTTCGAGGCAGAGAACCGGGTTCTTTTTATGATCCTGCAGTTCTCACTTCATGGATTCTGAGGAAGCCAGACAGGTTAGCCATTTCTTTGGGGCTGATCCTAAGATCGTTGAGAGCTCTGAGAGAACCTCGAGATGGGACACACCGTCTAACCTTACCCAGAGAGGGTTCAGGTAGACCCGACACCTCGGTATTCACTTTCTGATCGGAACTCAAAGTGCTCTTTGTTTGGGCGAACTTGAGTGCTCTTTGTTGTTTATGCAGGAGAAGAGATGGTGCTGAACATCTATAGGCCCTGAAAAGCCACTCTCCGTGCGTCTATTTGATCTCCGTATGTGGTGACAGGAGCGTGACTTTGAGGCGGAACTCATCGAGGCTTTCAAAATCTTAGATGAGAACGCGGATGGTGTGATGCTGAGATTTGCGAGAAACAGACATGCCTGAAACACCCGTTTGGGCGCATGTTTCACACATATCTTCGGACCAGACATGCTGATCAACCATTTGGAGGATGTTGGATCATTTGGATGGGAAAAGATCGTGTGGGAACTGTTCTGGGAAGCCGTGGGATAGCTCAAAAAGAGGAAGCCACCAGTGAAATTGGCCGGTGAAGCAGGACGTCGCTTGTTGACATTGTGCTTGAAGGTGTTCGAAGGTAGGACACCTGAGCCTACTTTAACAGATGGATGGTAAGTGGAAAAGCAGATGAACGCCCCACAGCCGAAGATTCGTGCCTGTTCTCCATCGCTGGCCCCTGTTTCCCGGGTTTTCCTCTCACTTGCCATGCGGCCTTGCTGTGCAAAAGTCACACGTCTTGACCTCCGTTCCGTCGTTTTGGGGCTCCGGCTTTGCGCCGGAGCTGCGTTTGGCCGACTGAACCGCCGAGCGGAGCCGAGCCGTGGAGCCGGCCACGGTGGAGCCGTTCGGAGACGGCCCACGGTGCGGCCCAGGTTTCCTCTCGATTGATGAGTTGGAAAAGGGCGCGAAGCTCTTTCATCACCCCTGGACGCGAGAGGAGACGAGTTGGGAGACTTTGGGAGATGTGCTGGGCACAGGTGATGAGCCAAGTAGCGATGGCCTCCAACCAAGTAGGGATGGCCTCCAACCTTCAGTTATGGAGACTTCATGGAGACTTTGGAGGGAGGCGCAGGTAATGCAAGACTTTCGTCAATGGCAAGTGAATGGATGTCTGTGCAGCAAGCTCAGGAAGTTTTTGAGGATGAAGCACAACTGTGAGGATTCAGAATGACGTGGGTGTGCATGGGAATAGGAAGAACTCCCCCATCAATTCGATTTTCCCTCATTCTTTGAGGGGTCTTTCTATCTCTCTCTCTCTCTTTTCTAATTCAGACCTGCTTTGCGTCCAAAGAGGTTCTTTCGGGCAAGCTCAGAGGTTTCGGTCCTGTTTGAGACTGGAGCCCATGTTTTTCTTTTTTTGCATCGGGAGATCCAAGAGCAGAGCGAAGATGGGAGGGGGTGAAGGAACCCCCTACGCATCGATTGGACGCCTTCCCAGACGCTCCATGAGACAGCCCAGACGCAGCATCTGGGATAAGAATCCGCCCATCCAATTCCGCCCATTCCGCCAATCAAATATGGAACACTTGAAGAACATCATGCTTTTCCTTTTTTGCCCGATCGAAAGGCATATCGATTCATGGTCCCAGGCGCAACGCGCGCGCGCTTGCACGCAGTGAAGGGCTCCACTGAAGGGTGGAAACAAGTCCCGCCCTTTCTGTGTTTGGTGCAGCCGCAGAGAGTCCATCGGTCAGGATATCATGAAGATGATTGAAGAGGTGCGGATTCAGCAGATTCCGATGGATGTTGGGTGGCTAGTTGACTTTTTTACTTTCAGAGTGCTGAACATCTCAAGATATCAGGGCGGCTTAAGCTTAAGACCTGAACTGGTCCTTAGTATATAAGTGCCAGAAACAGGGATTGAAGAGCCACAAACTCGGTCCATCTCAGGCGGACGTGAGCCACGATGAAAAAGTGAGCTTCCCTGAGTTCGAGCGCATCATGAAGCCCGGAGGGCCTAGTGGGAAATGGGAAAGATGTGCGGAGAGCAAATCTTGAAAGGCATGCGGCATGCATCCTTTGCTCTAAAAAGCCTTCAGCGAACGTCATATTGTGCCTCATATGCCTCATTGGATGTAGTTTACGATTAGATCTGCAAATGGCAAGCCTTGAGTTTCTATAGGGCTGGGGAATCCATTGCATTCAGCCGGGTGCTGTCCCCAGCAGGGCAGGTCTCGGGGGCTTTGGTCATATCGGGTGGAAGAAGAGGAACACATCCACCAAGATCATCGGTCACCGTCGGTCACCGTGGGTCACGAATGGGACAACGGAGTGGGTCTGCGCAGAAGCGGAAGGAAGTCATTGATCTGGTGAAGATCCAAAGATCTCTGGTGTGGTGTGGAGTCCACGTATGATTTAGATGTACATGTGGTGCGCGGATTGCAGGTGGCAGTATCTGTGCCTTGAGCATTAGGATCGCTAGGAGCAGGATGGTGAAGAGCCCGGAATCTGCCAAACATGCATTTCAGTCGTGAAACAAACTCCTGCTCGCAACAAGAACTGATCAATCTCCACCAATTGGAGTACTCAAGAACTGTATAACGACATTCCAGGCTGAAGAGTTCCTACAAAAACTTGGTGGGCCACTCGATCGAGTCACTAGTAAAATATACATACCAAAAATCGAAGAATATCAATCCGCTGATGGCCTGAAAACCGGCCCCATACCGCAGCTTCCAACGTTCCAACTTCCACATCCCCTTCACATCCCACCTCACAGGTGGGGCATGGCCATGAAGATCTCCACCGATGGAGCTGTGGCACCGTGACTGGGCGAAGACGGCGGGCTCAGCAGCCTGCCCGAGTGACGGTAAGTAAGTCGGTGGTGCCGAGGCGGAGCATGGCGGAGCAACAGTTTTAACATATTTATATAATTTAACATACGGTACAATAATATTGTTATTATTCGTTATAGTTGTTTTTTGAGCTTTAAGATTAACATGGGGAAAGACGTTTTGCTGTCCATGTGGAGAGTTTCACCTCTGGTTTCCTGTCCTTGTGTGTGAACAGGCCGGAATCAAGGCTTCAACAAGAGAAAGAGCAGTGATTCTAGTATTTCCTTCTTTGTCTGGGACGTATTTTTGGACCTGGTATCAGGCGTATGGGACCTGAAGGCGTTTGCTTTCTCATATTCATTTCTCATGTCCGTGGCTTGGAGCAATGGGAAGCCCACTCCTCGCCCTGGCATACTTGCAGTGGCATGCCATGAAAGCTTGAAATACGACGATGCGTTACTGAGTTTCCACGTCAGATACTACTTCACTCTATCCCAACTTCTCAAACCAACCACCAACCACCTACCCCTTTGCCGCCGCCATCGCACTTTTGCGCACTTGGTTGGGGGGAAGCCTTTCAAGTCCGTCGTCACCGAGGAGGGATCTTGAATCGATGTGTATTGGATTGTTTGGTGTTGTTTCAACTAGGTGCTCTTTCAGCGAGGGGTGACCAGGTCCGTGACCAGGTCCATGGGAGAAGAGTTTCTGCGAGTCCAGGCATTCGTAGAACAAACATGGCAGCCAGGATCCACTGTAAGATCTCTAAGCCCCGATTCTGGTGAACACCCATACTAATCCATGACAATAGCACATAAAAGTACAAGTGCAAGAACATCCACAAGACACGCCGGCAGGCCGGCGGATGGCTGTTTGGGCGGTGAGAGATGAAGATCGGAATCGAGACATGCCGATCGATCGGTCGACGTGACTCGGATTTCTGGTCTCAAAGCGAGCAGGTGGCCAGAGGTTCGGGTTACCCTTCCTTCCCCTTCCTGGCTCGCTTTGCAGGGATGGCTTAACGCATGTAATTATCCTGGTCCTGGACATCTCCTAGACCTGCCCAGGAACATCGTGGATCACGTGAAACCATTTTTTGGGATGGCTTTCCCCCACTCAACATCAACCATCAAGTGGCACCCTAGAATCTTTCATCTACGCTCTGGAGGATTCACATGGAACCTGAAAAACCACTGGTTTTGTAGAGGAAAGGAGTCTTTTCATGTCTTTTCATGGTGCCATTCGACCCGGGTTCATGTGAGTTTTCGGGAGTGTCAACCTCCTCATCCGGTCGATCCTTTAGTCCACCCGTGCGTTCGACCGAGGACCAAGAGCCTCAAGCGCTGAGAGACGCCGCGGCGAGACAAGGTGACGAAGCGATGGGTCTCGCGTCCCCGTGGTGTGATGGCAGGGCTTCTGCGGGTCGCAGTTGAGGATGACAAAATGGATTCCTTTAGAGAGGGACGAACCACAGATACAATGTACAGATGTGAATAGAAGTAGGGAGACGGATCATTTCTTTTCAGGTCATTGGTCAGAATCAACGCGTCCATTGAGTACTCAATGGCCACTTGCACGCAATTCGATACTGTGAATGGAAAAACGCACGACCCAAAGCATACCTTTTCATGAAGGTCATGAACACCTGAGAAAGGTGAACCGGTCAATACGACCTGCGTTTGGCTCAAGGAACAACGTGAGCGGCTGTGTTTTGTCGGTCGCTCTTGAGGCTTTTTCCATAACCACAGGTTATGAGCCCAAGGAGCGTGTGAAGTCCACCCTCATTGTTGAGGTCGCTGGTCCCCATGAGCGGATTCGCCGCGCGCCGGCGCCGTGCCTCACGAGATGGAGGCAAGCTGCGGGATCCGGGAGATCGCGAAGGGCAGTTGAGAGTGGGCGCAGCAGATGAGAGGCTCGATACCCTCCTCGAAGAGGCGCGAGCGACATCCATGCCTCCTGTAGTGAAGAGGGTGGGTGGTGTACCTGCGGCGGCTGATGGCCGGAGAACCTCAGCGGCAGCTGGCAGGGCTGATGGTGGTCGGCAGCCTCCTCTCGTGGAAAGGCAAGAGCGAGGAGCTGGCTGGCAGGAGACGGTGAGGCAATCCCTTGAGGTGTTGCAAAGGGCCTTTGGACCAAACTCCCAAGGACCGATGCCGGTGGGACCTCCGCCTCCTGAAGGACTACTTGGACCTCTATTTCATGGCCGCGATCCAGGACACCCTCGCGCTGATGATCCGGGACAACCTGGAGGGCAAGGGGCTTGGCAGCGGGAGGCAGCGTCATCGCCTCAGTTCCCGATTCCGCCGAGAGTGGACAGGAGCAGCATGAACGGTGAAGGTGGTCCACAACCTAGAGTACTTGAGCCCTACGACATGTCCACACCCCATCAACATGGGCGGCAGCAGACCAATCCTTTTTGGAGTGACCGTGGTCGTGCACCTGATGTGGCATCCCGTTCTGAACGTCCTCGACCCCCTAGTGAAGAGGTGAAGAGAAGCCCGACGTCTCAGGAGCTGGAAGCCATCCGGGAGCGCATCCTTCGTGAAGCCCACTTGAACTTTGAGAAGGAGGTCAAGAAGCTGACAGGTGGTGGAGGTTCGTCGACGTTTGAATCGGCGAATAGTGTGGGCGAGCGGGCGAAACTTCGTGGTTCCACTGATGGTCAAGGTGGGAACTCTGGTGATGGTGTTGGTGAGTCACTACCTGATCGACCCCCTGGATTACATGAGACCACAACCGGGACATTGTCATCAGGGTTTGGTGGTGGAGCAGGAAAGGTGACCAGAATTGGGGCTGGAATTCCCGTGGCATCGACGACCGAGGCTCTGCGAAATTTGGAGCTTCCCTCACTTCCAGCACCCAATGGAGAAGGAGCTTCGATTCTCTTCGGCGACTGGCTGACTATGGCATTCCCGCTGATGGCTGACATCTCCAACTCGGCGAAGGCCTGGTGGGAAGAGTCCTTGATGGTGGCGCAGGAGCACTACTCTCGGTGGCTGCGACTGAGTCCGCTGGAGAGGCTGAGATCGAAACCTCAAGTTGAAGTGGACCCAGCATTTCAACGGATTGAACAGCGTGGAATTGCCATGCTACTTGGAGCACTACCTGATCAGCTTCGTCGGGACTTGGTGTCTGGCAGGCAGCTGTCCGTGGTGCACATCCTGTACCGGCTCCATGTGGCGTACCAGCCAGGAGGCGGCGCTGAAAAAACGCAACTCCTCAAGAATTTAGTGGAGTCGAAGTTCTCCACATCGGTGGGAGAATTGTTGATGCAGGTCCGGTTGTGGCGACGTTGGCTATCTCGTGCTCAAGAACTTCACCTCAACCTTCCGGACCCTCTGGTCCTCATGCACGCCCTGCAGCGCATGATCGACAGCACCCAAAAAGCAGGCGGCACTCAGGTGTCATTCAGGATTTCAAATGTTCGTCAAGAACTCCGAGTTGACTATGCAGCTTCATTGGAAGGAGTCACTGAGCTAGCTGAGTATGTGCAGGCGGAGATCGAAGAAATGTCCCTCACTGCAGCTCAGAAGGGTGGTGCACCACTGGCTCAGCCGGCGGCCTCGTCCAATCAAGCGGTCTCGACGTCACTGAAGGCCATGGCATCGTCCTTTGGAGCGACTGAGAATGAGGAGCGAGCAGGAGGAAGGCTTGCTTGCAGGTTCTGGAAGTCGGAGGAAGGCTGCAGGAGGGGAACATCTTGCACCTATGCCCACGACACCTCGGATATGAAGAACCGGTGCTTTGGTTGCGGTGGGAACCACATGAAGCGTGAATGTCCTCACCAACCTAAGACTGGAAAGACTGATCCAAAGAAGGTCTCAAAGGTGAAGGCCACGAAGGAGGGAGAGAAGGGGGAGATCGTCGAGAAGATCGCCAAGGAGCAGCCCATAAGTGAAGAGCCGTCTCCGGGGTCATCGCCGCCTCCTACCACGACCACTTCGAGAATGGCAGGAACACCTGAGAAGCCACTGGGTCGGGAAACTACGGCAGAGTTGCTGTCGGAGGCAACGTCTTTGCTCAAGACACTTCGGAGCATGAAGGTGCTTCGTGTGAAGGAATTGAAGCCGGTTGGCACTGATGGTTTGGCACCTGTTGGATTGCTGGATGGAGGGGCGACCAATGGTCTTCGTCGAGCACATGAGCAGGAGCTGGAAAGGATGTACCCGGTGAGGGTGGAGTTGGCCTCAGGGTCAACGACGTTGTTCAGGGTGGATGACCACAAGACCTTGCTGTCCAAGGACCACGTGGAGGTCATTGTCCCGCTCCATCGACTGGTGGGCTTGGGGTATCGGCTTCAGTGGACGACGGCTGGAGTGAAGATCAATCACCCTGATAATGGCAGGATTGACTGCGCGCTTCGTGGGGGATGTCCGGTTCTACCTGAGGCCAAGGCGCTGGAGTTGCTTAGCACCATGGAGAAGGCAGATCGGGGGGAGATCTTCACTGATGATGAAGTACGATCATGGTGGTCATCAAGATTCCCTGAGGTCCCTGCGGAGGTGTGGGAGTTCATGAAGGGCCAAGACAGCTTTGATGCTTGCACTTGCCCCTGGAATCGACGTCAGCGGCGAAGACACCTGGCGTCTCGTGGTGTGATTGTCAACCTCTTTGCCGGGAAGGACTATAAGAGTTGGTCTAAGACGGACTGGGGTGGCTTCGAGATTTTGAATGTGGACGTGACGATGGGCGCACAGTTCGACCTCCATGGCATTGGAACTTGGGGTTACCTATGTCATCTAGCTCGACGAGGCTTGGTCGTTGCTGTGTTGGGAGGGCCGCCATGCCGCACGGTGTCACGGTTGAGGCACCGAGCTCCGGGTCCACGCCCTTTGAGAGGTCGAGATGACCGCAGATTCATGCTGGAGGGACTTTCTTCGCCAGAGCAGGAGCTTGCCCTCAGCGATTGTGCGTTGATGATGAAACAGATTGGTCTGTGGCTCCTCGCTGATGAGCATCGTGGAGGACGACCAGCACCTGGATTCCTGATGGAGTCACCAAGAGACCCCATGGATTACATGTCAACTGAGGCCACCAAGGAGGACATGCCGAGCTTCTGGAACTTTGAGGAAGTGAAGAAGGCCAGAGAGCTGATGGGCGCATCCTTGCTGACCATGGATCAAGGGCCTATGGGCCACGTCAAGAGAAAACCAACATGTTTGATGGTCGCCAACCTCCCACAGATGAAGGAGTTAGATGGCGTGTCCGGAGAAGGTAGAGGAGAAGTTGAAGCAACATCGCTCACTGGGAGACTGGCTCAATCGAGGGAGTGGTCGTCCTGGGCACCGGGCTTGGTGGCAGCGGTGAAGGAGTGCTTGAAGAACTTCCTCCTGGAATACAGGCGCAGGTGGAATGCGGAGGAGATTGTGCACCACGGCGAACCTGGAGTGAAGCGAATGAG